CCAGCTCAGCTCCGATGTGACCTGGTGCAGCTCCAGTGAGCACATTATGTGATGTCCCATGAAAACACATTGTAGAGTTGAACAATATCATAATTAACACTCTCCAATGGGCTTAAAACTGAGCTGTGTCTGTTCTATTTCAGGCTCTCATCTTCCCCCTGAGCCAGTTAGCACTCAGTTTGCATCACAAAGCAGAATGGAGAGCAGCCCAGTTGTCTGAGCCTTTGAGATAAGATGAGCTCTTCAAGGTTTGGGACGGATTAGGCAGGATGTTTCCCTGGGATTCCTGCCCACAATCCTCCAGAGACTATTCCTTAAACCAAGCACTAGCAGGAACAAGGCTTGAATTGTGCAGAAAGAAATTCAACTCACAGTCTCTTCCACATGAACAGCTTCCCCACAGATATTGGTCACCAGGACAGTGTTGCAGTTTCCTCCTGGAAAAAATAATCATAAAAATAAAGCAAAGAATATAATATTTTAGGGTTTTTTTCCAACTGTTTCATTTTCTAGAACCTATTCTATTATGTGCTGACTAAAATAGAGAAGAATCATAGACTGTCACAGTGGTTTGGACTGGAAGGACCTTAAAGCTCATCTTCCAAAGGCAGGGAACCCTTCCACTAGCCCAGGTTGCTCCAAGCCCCGTCCAACCTGGCCTAGAACACTTCCAGGGATGGAATAGCCACAGCTGCTCTGGGCAACCTGTGCCAGTGCCTCACCACCCTCACAGCCAAGAATTCCTTCCCAATATCCCATCTGAAGCTACTTTCAGTTTGAAGAAGCACAAAGAACATAGGTAGTGTGTCCCTCCATAGGGCACAGAAACACAGAGTCACACAAGCACTTAAAAATAAAGGTGAAATGTGTTTCTATGGGGAAATGATGTAGGAAGAGGATGGGAATAAAAACAGTTCCAGAGGTTTATAAATGTTGTGTTTTCCAGGTTGCCCAGAGAAGCTGTGGATGTCCCACCCCTGAAAGTGTTCAAGGTCAGGTTGGATGGGGCTTGGAGCAACCTAGGCTTGTGGAATGTGTCCCTGACCATGGCAGGGGCTGGAATGAGATGATCCTTAAGTTCTCTTCCAACCCAAATTGGGATTCTCTGATAAAATAAGACCTAAGGACTTAATATGCTCATTGAAACAATTTTTCCAGGAGCTGTTTGGGGTTTTTGTCACTCATAGCTCTTACCCAGAGAATCCTTGAGGACGTGAGTGAGTTTGCTCTGCCGGAAGGGGATGTGATCCCTCTTGGGATCAGCCAGGGCAATGACGATCTGCTCAAGGAATGACAGGGACTTGTTGATGTAGGAGGCTTCCTTCAGGACCTGTCCCTCAGACTGCAATGGAGATCAGAAGGAAAATTTTCCATAATGTGTTCCTGGCCATATTCCTCATCAAAGGGAAAACTCTGCCTGAATACAAGGCTCAGGAGCTAATTCAGACCAAATAAATTCATGATCTGGAGCTTTCCTGAGTTTGGAAACAAGTTTACAGAGGCCTCAATTTGTCATTTCAAGTGTACAACTTAGATTTCGAGCCCAAAGGGTAAATTATGGGTTTGTCACAGGGTTGATGTGGTTTCTATTCTGATCAACACAGAATGTTACACAATCACAGGATCACTGAGGTTGGAAAAGTCCTTTGAGACCACCAAGTCCAACCATTCCCCAGCACTGCCAAGGCCACCACTAACCATATCCACAAGTGCCACATCCACACGGATGTTAAATCCCTCAGGGGATTGTGACTCCACCCCTGCCCCAGGCAGCCTTTCCAGGAAAGAATTCTCCCAATATCCAACCTGAACCTCCCCTGGCACAGCTTGAGGCTGTTTCCCCTTGTCCTGTCCCTTGTTCCCTGGGAGCAGAGCCTGACCCTCACATGGCTGTACCTCCTGTCAGGGAGTTGTAGAGAGCCAGAAGGTCACACTGAGCCTCCTTTTCTCCAGGCTGAGCCCCCTCAGCCCCTCCTCGTGCTCCAGACCCTTCCCGGGACATGCCCCAGCACCTCCATGTCCTTGTTGTCACAGTGAGAGGCCCAAAACAGTGGGAGCTGAGGAGTTTCCATCACTCACCCCAGTCTTGCTCAGTCTCTCAGAGCCTGCCAGGTCAATGAGGTTGATTTTAGATTTAATGCGTCTGAGGTCTGAGTAAACTCTGGAACAAGACTGATGGAGAAAAGAATATAAACTGTACTTAAGAGCAGATAAAACTGAAAATCCTCAGCCATTTGAGGCCCTGGAAACAACACTGGAGCTCTTACCTCAATATAAATAGTAAAGATGCAGTGGGATCTGGATGAATTCTTATTCAGTGTGTGCTCTGCTATCACTCTGTTGGTCTCACCCTGCAAATGAAGACAAACTTCAAGGCTCAGCTCACAGAGTTGAGGCTTCTTAAGGAACAGCAAGGCAACATGTCCCTGGCTCTTTCAGTTTCTTGATGACTAGAAAGCCAAAGAGCTCCTCAAGCTTCAAATGTTATTGAAAACTCACAGAAATGTGATGACCAAGAAAGAAAAGGGATGTTGAAAATGATGCTGCAATAGTTTGCTGAGAGTGTTGGTCTGTCAGACCTGTGCTGCCAGGCTCGTGAGGCAGAGGAGGAACTGGGAGGCTCTACAGCAGAGAAATTCATTTGTCTAGTGGTTTCAGAGCTGTGCCTGGGTCTTCAGGGTCAATGCCATGGAGTCACAGCATAGTGGAAAACTTCCTCAAAGCCTGGAGCTTTCTCTGTGAGCCAATATCCCATCCCACCCTGCCCTCTGGCAGTGGGAAGCCATTCCCCCTTGTCCTGTTCCTCCAGGGCCTTGTCCCAACTCCCTCTGGAGCTCTCCTGGAGCCCCTTGAGGCACTGGAAGGGGCTCTAAGGTCTCCCTGGAGCCTTCTCTTCTCCAGGCTGGACATTCCCAAGCCTCAGCCATTATGATCATCCTTCTACACTTAAAAGCAAAAGGGAGTTCCTGCACATCCCAGAGCTTAGGACACCACAAGTCCCTTACTAAAAAGGCAAAATACTGGATTTTAGGGACACCACATGGCTCTGGGTGAGAATAAACTTCCTGCACATAGATCCAATTATTTATCCATATTTTCCTCACGAATTGAAGCACCACAAGGAAATGGAATATACTTATATAAGCAATCACACACCCCTCACAAATCTAACAATTGTTTGAACATCCCTGCTGCAAATTCTAACAGTATCTGTGCCATGATCATCCCCAATAATCTGCCATAGACTCTTTTTTTTGGAGCATCTTCCAGAACCCCTGTGCCAAGGACATTTTTCCTTGCAAGAGCAAGGGCTGCAAAGAGTTAGCAATTCACCTACCCACACCAAAGAGGACAAAAAGAGTTGGTTGAACCTCCCTCCAGCTGTCCTGGCCACACATCTCCTGCTTTCCTACCTCCTCCTCCCTCAGCCAACAAACAATCAGATTAAAAGCAAATTTGTTTTCTCTTGCCTCAAAAAGAAGATTTAGAGCCTCTTCCTCATAGCTGACTGAGTGTATAGACAGACCCTTCACATAAACACCCTGAGGGCAATCCACCACTGCCAGCTGTGTGTCACTGCCCCCACGGGTTGCCACTGGGGACAGAAGGTCAAACAAGGCCTCGTTGTAGATTTCCAGGTAGGATATTCGCACTGAGATGAAGAGATCAGGGGAATCTGCAGCTGCCTTGAAGATCTAAACAAAGACAAAAAGTTTGTTAGTGGCTGTGATGGTTCACAGACAGAATTTTTAGCCCTTTATGGCTTTCTAGAGGAAATATTTATAGCTTTCTGAGCAGCTTTCAGTGCAGCTAGGGGAATGTGGGGCTAAATCTGAGCTGTGGTTGCCTAAGGACTTGAGTTGTACTTGATGATCTTATAGAATCAGAGAATCATGGAATAGTTTGGGTTGGAAGGACCTCAAGGATCATCTCATTCCACCCCCGGCCATGGGCACAGATACCTTCCACTAGCCCAGGTTGATCCTAGCCTTGTCCAGCCTGGATTTGATCACTCCTTTGGATGTGGCAGCCACAGCTTCTCTGTGCAACCTATACCTCAGAGGTATTTTCCAACCCTAATGATTTTATGAACAGTTTTAATGAGATTTTACAAACTGATAGTTTGGAAATTAACAATTTTAAAGGTTTGGTGACATTTGGGGAGCAGCAAGAGCCTTGTGTGAGCTCCTAGAATTAACCAGGAGCAATCTCTGTGCATGACAATAAAGCTCCTTTGTTTCTTTATGACCATCCCCTAGGTAAAATGAATAAAAAAAAGAGATATAAAAGATATTCACTGTATTAAAACTCTTTTTTATCAGCAAGAGCTGATACAATAGATGTCTCTGATATTCCTTCCAGCTTCTTTTCCCATCCCATCCACATCCAGTACCTGCTGGATAGCTCTTGGGATGATCCCTCGTTGCCTGTACTCAGAGGTTGCTCCTGTCATGGTGTAAGTTTTACCAGCCCCAGTTTGCCCATAACACATAATGGTGCCTAAAATAATGCAAAGGCAAAAGAAGAAACTCAGGAGGGATCCTCAAACAGAACAGCTAATGTTCACAACAAATCAAACCTCCATTCCTTGCCAAAATCATAAAAATAGCCATAAATCACCATTGTAACCAATTAAAGCTTCAGACACCAAGGTCTTGGCCACAGCCTCATAAACCAGTTCCTGGGAGGTGTTGTGCAGAACCTTGTCCAGCCTGAAGGACCAGTCAGTCTGTGTGTTATTCACAATTCCTTTCTTGGCATCTTTTTTGATGTATATGCCCATACTCTGCAAGCCAAAAAAGAGAGGGAGGTAAATCCAACATCCAGGAGGAGTTTCAGGAATTGAAGGCCTGGAGGTAAGTAGGAATTGGGACACAAATATTGGTTTATTGCCTTCGATGGATCAGCTTATCTGGTAATAGCCTAAAGTTCCTAGTGACAGATATTCCATATGAAAAAGGATTGTGGTTAAGCTCATCTGCTTAACTTCAGGTGATTGTGTGTCCCTTAGGGAAATCCTTAATTAAGCAAGAGAAGGTGAAGGGAGGAACTTGCATAAGGTGAGGACAGAAACAGCCTGTGCCAAATTGTGGTGACCACTGGGAATTCCTCATGGATCAGACAGTCCCAGTCCTTTGGAGGATTTTCCTAGTGACTGTATCACCACCAGTATGTTTTCCATAGTCACTTGCTAAGACAAAACCACTGTCAAGCATGAACAAATGAACAAACACACCCCAAAATGTTATCCATGGCCTTAAGGGATGGAAAAATTTTGCCTTTCCATAGGCAAAACCAAAATCAAACTCCAAACCTTTCCCACTTGGAATTTCTTTCATCCTACCTTGTTGTCTGGCCCAAATTTGATCATATCTTGGGCAAAATCAGCTGTGGGCTTGACTCTCACAAATGCCTGGATTCGCTTCTTGGATCTAAGTGGGGAGGAAAAAACAGGAAAATAAGGATGTTGTGTTCCCTAAAACGAATGTTATATTATTACTCAGGAAAAGGAGAGCTATAGAGAAGTCTAACTCAAAAATAAAGTGTTCAGCTGAAGTTTCTATTCTGTATTTAAAACAACTGCAGGCAGAGAGTTGCTGAGAATTCTTTCCAGTGTTGTTGTGCCTGGAAAACTGAGGAGAAGGATCTTACTGATCCTGATTTCCTCATGGCTACCAGGCCAGGAGTCTTTGACAACACAAGTTTTCTTCCTTTTAGCAAATTATTAGCAAAATAAAAATTATTACCATCAGAAAAAAAAGGGGGCAAAATATTTGCAGGAATTTGAGAGGGATTTGCTGTTGTCTGGTGTTTTCTGCCTTCTGTAAAATGCATTAAATTTCTAACAAACACCTGATGTTAAGATTTTTAGAGGAAAAAGCATAATGTGCCTGACAACTGGTGAGATTCCTGTGGTGTTTTTCTGGCCAGTGATTCAGAAGTGGCTCAATATCCAGAGGATCTGTGGAGGAAAACCCACATGAGGAGGGCTCAGGGGATCATTCAGGTGCTGAAGCCTCACCTGAGACACAGGAACTGAATATGCTAAAATCTCTGGAGCATGTAGGTCCTATGTTTTCCCTCAGCCACTTCCTCCAGATAGCCTATGCTCAATAATTGTGTAATAACTTCTAGTATTGGCCAAAATATTTTGTATTTTTTGTAAATTAAAGATTTTTGTCACTTCTCCATCACTTAAACTGCTGTAAGTGCCCTAAAATGAGATACAGAGTTTGAGCTGATTCAAAACTTGTCCTGATTTAAAACAAGTGAACATTTGAGTGATACCTGGGAACGGTCCCGTGGGTTTTAGAGCAGGTGACCAGAGAGGAAATGCTGCTCTTCTGCTCCTGGGAGTCGAAGGAGATCATAGAACTCTGTCAAAAAAACAATCCCAGTGTTGGAGCAGTTTTGGTTTATGCCCTCAACACTGCAGCAAGAAGCACAGCAGGGAAAAGGAGAAAGGGAATATTCCAGGGAAAAACTACTATGAATATAAGAGAACAAATTCCAAATGAGTGGATTTTCCTCACTGCAACAATGCTCATTGCTGGATGTAAGGATAAAAGCAATAACTCCTGAGAGTGTTTATTAACATTAGATGGGAAGGAACAGGTTTCCCAGAGCAGCCCTGGAATGTTCCAGATCAGGTGGGATGGGGCTTAGAGCAACCTGAATGAGTGGAAGGTGTCCCTGCCTGTGGCAGACGGGTGGGACTGGGTATATAAGGTCCTTCCAACCCAAACTATTCTATGATTCCAGCTGGGCCCAGCTGGGTTTACCTTTAGATCAGTCCCTGGTTTGGCCTTGGTGAAGGCAGAAGCTGAGGGCTCTGGTGTTGTGTCCTCCTGCAGCCCCTCAGATCCCTCCAGCTCATCTTCCTCCTGCCAGGCAAAAACAGATCTCATTCCATGTGAAAAACATGCGTGGAGAAACAGGGGACAACCAATCCCATTTGCTGCACCAAACACCAATTCAACCACCTCTTCAAAGCCTTGGAAGTAAGAGATTCCCATTCCCATGCCTCAGGAGAGCAGATTTGGGCAGGTTTTTGGAGCAAAATCCATCTGCAAGAGTAGGGATCTGCCCAGAGCAGCTGTGGCTGCCCCATCCCTGGAAGTGTTCCAGGCCAAGTAGGAGCAACCTGGTCTGGTGGAAGGTGTCCCTGCTCATGGCAAAAGGTGACCCTGGATATTTAAGGTCTTTTCCAACCCAAACAATTACAGGATTCCAACTGGGCCCAGCTGGGATTACCCCTTGATCAGTCTCCATTTCAGCCCTGTTCAAAGCAGAAGCTGAGGGCTCTGGTGCTGTGATCTCCTGCAGCCCCTCAGATCCCTCCTGCTCATCTTCCTCCTCCTGCTCATCATGTTCCTCCTGCTCAGCATCTTCCTCCAGCCACTGAAAAACAAGTCCCATTTCATGTGAAAAACATCCAGAGACACAGGTGACACCCAATCCCATTTGATGCAGCAAACACCAATTCAGCCATGTTTCCAAGGCCTTGGAAGTAAGAGATTCCCATTCCCATGCCTCAGGAGAGCAGATTTGGGCAGGTTTTTGGAGCAAAACCCATCTGCAAGAGTTGGGATCTGCCCAGAGCAGCTGTGGCTGCCCCATCCCTGGAAGTGTTCCAGGCCAAGTAGGAGCAACCTGGTCTGGTGGAAGGTGTCCCTGCTCATGGCAAAAGGTGACCCTGGATATTTAAGGTCTTTTCCAACCCAAACCATTACAGGATTCCAACTGGGCCCAGCTGGGATTACCCCTTGATCAGTCTCCATTTCAGCCCTGTTCAAAGCAGAAGCTGAGGGCTCTGGTGCTGTGATCTCCTGCAGCCCCTCAGATCCCTCCTGCTCATCTTCCTCCTCCTGCTCATCATGTTCCTCCTGCTCAGCATCTTCCTCCAGCCACTGAAAAACAAGCCCCATTTTGTGTGAAAAACATCCAGAGACACAGGTGACACCTTATCCCATATGATGCACCAAACACCAATTCAGCCATGTCTCCAAAGCCTTGGAAGTGAGAGGCTCCTCTTTCCACACCTTAGCTGAGCAGATTTGGGCAGGTCTTAGTGTAAAAGGTTGCATATGAGTTT